CGAGTCTCAGATTGAATAGAATACAGTGTGAAACTTACATTCAAGTTACAATAAATAAGTGGATACAAATTATGTATAACTGAGTGTAATATCCCAACATAGTGTAGACAGGTCAAACACATATACTGTAATTAAAAGCAAAATAAACATTAAAATATTTAATATTATATTTGTAATTTGCTGCTACCATGAAAGGGTATGTTAGTTTTACTGTCTCATACGATGTTAAATAATAAATCAGGTATAAGCTAACACTGTAGGTGCATGCTCTAATTTAAATTATTTGACTAGAATTCCTACTTTGCAAAACAAGTTTTCTTAAATTAAAACTAGGACAGACTTCCAAACAGTTTTTGAAACATATGTGAAAATCATACCAACTAACTTATGGCCAGCACAAGCAACATTTCTAAACTCTGAAAACAAAGACCTACTTATATAAGTACTTTAACATGTACTGTAAGGAAAAACTGTACATTAAACAATCAATACTTGCAACATACAATAACAAAAAAGGATAAAGTAATCAACTTATTTATAACAATTTAAGCATTTAAAATAACAAGAAATTTGAAGGACAACTTAGCCTGTCATAGCTGCTACACTTATTTCATCAAACACCCATCTGCCTATATCCAGCCCTGATTCCTTAAATATTCATCAAGCCTTCTGTTGAACTCTCCCAATCCTACTGCATCTACCAACTCTAAAGGTAATGTATTCCAAAGGCCAACCAACATATTTAAAAAACTATATAACTTGCAAATAATTTCTGCTTTCCCTAGATCTTCCATGCTTACCAAAAAATGTGAAAAAGTTCATGCATCAATCCTATGTATTATGTTTCATTGTTTGTACTTTTGAACACTTCAATCAGATTCTCTTTAACTCTTCTTTTCTCAACATAAAATGATTTTAAGGGCTTTAACGTTTAATCTGACCTGATATGACAGCTCTCCCATCCCGGGAACCATTCTAGTACTAGATTAGTAGATGGCCCTCTTTTCAACAATTTTTCCAACAACTCAATGTCCTTCTTAAAAGTAATAAGATTGAACCGGATACTCTAAATGGAGCCTATCCAGAGATCTGTACAAAGAAACAATAGTTTCCTTTGACATGTAATTGTATTCTATATTATTGTAGATACAACCACAATCCTACACTATTATAATTTATATGCTTTCCGGTTTCTCATTGGCAACAACACACTGCATGGAACTTGGAAGTGGAAGGCATAAGACTAAGAGAGTAACTTAGTAAGAGATCGATCTTCCATAACATTAACAATAACAGTGTTGAGTTGATTTCCATCAAGGTGGTAATTATAGTTTTGACTAAATCTCTGTTTATAAAAACAGAAAATTTTGTACAAACTAACAAAAGAAAACACATCAACGCCCTTCTAAGTTCTACAACTTCTACTTCTAGTACTATATCCAAGTAAGTTGTAGTGATTTTTCTGCTCTAGATACTGACAACGTTGACACAGTATTGAATTTGAAGCTTAACTTAAAAGTTAACGTAATCTGACATTAAATATAATGTTACAAATAGTAACCAACGTTAATACCAACCAATTTTCTGTCCAACAGGTGTGGCAAATGGATTTCCTCCAAACTGAGCTAAAATTGCTGCCATTGTGTCTTCACTCTTTTAAAAGTTGTAAAAAACGTTATATCAATATATGTTAGTTTTTAAAAATTAAGTTTATTATCACAACATCACATGCGTAGTTTAGTATAAAAAAAAAATTAAGAACAAACGCCTTCGTTATTTAGCCTCAGAAACGATAAACCCGGAATCTTCAAGAAAATAAACACTATATTCTCAACATCAGTTCCCAATTGAACATCTTGGCTAGTGACTATATGTAGCTAGTGAGGAGCTGGAACTCGAATTTTTAAGCCCGAGTGTACCCGAGTTTTTAATTATTATGTACGATTCGATCCGAATCCGGGGAAGACAAAAAAAAAAAAAAAAAAAAAGTCCGACTTGCTCCGAGCATAAATCAATCTTTGTAGAACTAAAACTTTTTTTTTTGTAAGTTGAAAATCAGGGTCAGTTCGACCCAGACCCGAACATGTCCGATCGCTTTCGGACTCGAACTTCTCCGATTTATACATAGTACAAATCATCTGGGATGAGGCTCAATTGTCGTTATCGGCAGTTCTCAATCTGTGTTCCACCAAAGCATAAATAAATAAATAAATCAGGCGGACTGAAAACAACAACAACAAATAAAAAAGTATGAGATCCACTGATTTGTTTTATTCGTGGAGATGTTAATACAAGTTCCACCTCTATTATATCATTAAACGAATAATACCTTCGAACATGATAAAGCTAGGGCAAAAAAGGGAAGCATTCAGTTTATCATTCCTTTTTATTATGATTATGTTCAAAATAATATTTTAAAGAAGTAAAGTAAATACAAAAATTGCTTTCAATTATAAATGCTATCAGAATATGCCTGCGCTGAGCAACTGTTATTTGGGTGTTAACAAGTAGTTTGATGTGCACTGTTTAATATTACATGACAGTAAGATTGGAAAAACTTTTTAACGAATCTTTCCTTATCAGCCCTGTACGGTTTTTTCATTAAGAATAATATTGTTACGTCTCCGTTTGTTAATTAACTTTCCGTAACTTCGTTCCGATGAAATTTTAGCGACACAAGTCCTTACTTAATAAAACTGGTTTACTCTTTCCGAATATAACTTTACGATACACTTAATTTCAATATTCGCGCTAAAACAAACACTATAACGAACGAACGTTAACTTTAACAATACCCTGTGACTGCAGTTCAATTATTCACTATCTACTCACAAATTACATTATTCTCACGTTGTGAGCGTCCTATATATATATATACAGGACAAATATATATCTAGTAAATGCTAGGGCATTCACAAAGGAACAAGATACTTCTAGAAAATAGGTGGCGTCAAAATAGTCACGTGATCTCGCTGACGCAACACTGCCCCCTCCTTAGTATTGTTCGTCCTGAACAATAGCCACATACAATAAACCAATAACAATTAACAATAACTTAATTAAATGTACAGAATTACAATCACAAAATTACAATTCAACAAAGTATCTTAATTTTTCGGGACGTATCTTCTTCCGTACTGGTCTCCGTCTCGTTGGCTTCTGCTTCACCTGGGGTTCATCTGCTTCATCAGGAAATGTCCTATCGTCGGTAATAGTCACATCAGTGGTATTAACTTCATCAAGAGCTTCACCGTTTCTCTTCTCAAAACTGAATAGAGTTTCTTCTTCGATGGTGGCTTCTTCAGATGGCACGTCTTCAGCAGCGTCATTTGTTCTGTTTTCTACTTCGTCCCAAGTGAAATGTCCTGGACCGTGATAACGCCAAAGCCTGTTGGCATGCACCACTTTTGGCTTACCTTGCCGACCACATTTTATCAGGAAAGTCACGTCTGAGAGACGATCCACGATGTCATATGGGCCTTCCCATGGAGAAGACAACTTAGGAGACTTCCCTTTGGTCTTCCTGGGATTATACAACCACACCTTGTCTCCTGGTTCAAAGCTGACTTCAGTAAATCTCTTATCATAAGATAGTTTCATCGAATCAGCAGACGTTTTCAAGTTTGAACGCACTTGATGGTGAATATCATCCATCCTTTCCGATAACACTTTCACAAACTCTGACACATTCTCAGGCAACTCTTCATAAGGTGGGCGTCCTGTTAACAGATCCATTGGCAATCGAAGTTCCCGACCAAACATCAACTTTGCTGGAGTGTATCCAGTGGTTTCATGCTCTGCTGTCCTGTAGGCCATCAACAGTGGAGGAAGTAAGACATCCCAGTCATCTTGGCGGCTATTACAAAACTTTGCCAGTTCCTGTCCCAATGTCCAGTTTTCTACCATCCTATCGGATTGTGAGTGAAGTGGCATTGTCC